AATAACATGCATTAAAAACTACACGGGCCATGTCACACGGAACCAAAAAAATCAAAACAATAATAACAATACTATGAAAAGTGTACTCCCAACAAATCTGAAAACTTAGAAGAGATGGATACATTTTTAGAAAAGCACAGCCTACCTAAGCTTACACAGAGTAAAGTAGAAAACCTGAACAGACCCATAACAAAAGAAGAAATTGATTAGGTTGATGGTTCAAGCCTAGGAGACACACTGCAGGAGAAAAATGAGTGTGATTCTGCAAACATACATAGACTTGGAAACCCTATACAGGGTCACTGTGAATCAGAAGTAACTCGATGGCAATCAACAATGACAGCAACTGTTGGTCACAGGACAGAAGTCTCTGCCAAACTTAAGGTAGCTGAGATTGTTTTGTTTTGTTTTCTTCTAGAAGTCTTAGTTATGGCTGTTAAATTTAGAGCTATGAACCATGTCAAATTAATTTTTTTAATGTGGATTAAGTAAACAAAGTTAACTTTTTTAGTATATGGCAGTCCAGTTGTTATATTATCATCAGTTTAAAAGAGTGTTCTTTTCCTATTGAATATCTTGGCATAGTTGCTGAAAATTCATTGATAATAGATAATGTGGGTCTTTTTTCTGGATTCTGTTATTCTATAATATTGATCTTTGCTATACCTTTATGAAATCACTGTCTTAATTACTGTAGCTTGGTAATATATCTCAAAATCAAGTAGTGTTCATCCATTTTATGAGGTGTTTTGCAGCTTTATCATTATTCTTCAAGGTTGAATTGAAGAAAGGTGTTCTACTGTGTATATGGACCAAAATTTTCTTTATCCGTTCTTCCATTGATGGGTACTTAGGCTAATTCCATCTTTGTGCTATTATGAATAGTGGTGTGACGAACATCGCTGTGCATATACTTGTGCACATCAATACATGCACCAGTGTGCATGGATCTGGCTGTACTTCTTCCAACACAGAATTGGTTTGATCTTTTTGCAGTCCTTGATACTTTCTGTGTTCTTCTCCAACACCATAACAAAGATGCATCAATTCTTCTTTCTTAGTCACTTTCTTAGTCACTGTACAACTTTCACATGCAGATGAGGTTATTGAAAGTACCATGGCTTGGGTCAGGTGCACCTTAGTCCTCAAACTGACATTTTTGCTCTTAAACCTTTAAAGAGGTCTTCTGCAGCAGATTTGCCTATTGCAACACACTATTTGATTTCTTGGCTGCTGCTTTCATGAGTGTTAGGGTTGATCCAAGCAAAATAAAGTCTTTGGTAACGTCAATCTTTTCTCCATTTATATGGTTATTAATTGATTCAGTGGTGAGGATTTTTTATTTCTTTACATTGGATTTCTTCTTTCAGTA